CCGCCTTCCACCCTCCACCCCACCCCACCTAAACCCCGTCCCTACCCCCTTTTTCATTTCGTCTCGCCTGTGGTCCCCTGATGTTACATGTTTATTCTTGTACTAGTGTTGTTGACGACAGATTGCACGGGGCTGATGGATCAATCAGCAAGGACCATGGGTAGGCCTATATAATCTACGACAGGCTGTTTAACTCCCCACCTCCACCTCTTTCTGGCCCCTCTCGTCACCGAAGACATAAACTTTTTTTTTCCGAGAACTGTAGGATTTCAGGTAGGTTCTGTTTTGTCAAGCTGGATAATTTTGTGCAATAAAAATGATTCTAGTTTCCAGATATAAAAAATTGAAATGTAAAATGTAAAATATAAATACAGAACACAAAGTGAATACATGTAAATAAATAAATACCGTAGTAAATTAAAATAAATAAATAAATAACTATTTATTGATCCTTGTTGGGAAATTTGGGTACAATGGCAAACATACATACATACATACATATATAAATGCACACATACAAAAATACATAATTATAAATAGATACACACATACATGCATAATTATAAATACATACATACATAAACACATAATCGTAAATACATACAGACATAAATACACAATATTACACCAATACAAAGTCAAATGATCCGCACCATAGTCAACGGGATTACGTCAGAGTGCGGTGATGTATTTTGGTGCAAGTCTTTGCTAGCAAACGACCCTAGCCTTTGGTTAGGTTTGGTTGCCTAGTTTGAAATCAAAATCATCTTTAGTTTTACAACATGCTAGGCCTTTTATTATTTAAAAAAAAAAATGCAGTTTCTTAATCCTTCAACTTTTGAATCGTACGTTTTCTGCTTGCTTTGCCTATGCTGACGTGTTATTATTTTGTTTGTGGTTTATTTCGCGAAGGGCAGCACACGGATAGCACAACGTGTAATTCGAGTTTCTGAAAATACAGTAAAAAATTTTTTTTCTCCAATCCCAATGAAAATTTTGTTCTCGTGTGAAAATTATGAGACTCTTGAATGGATCCCTTTGTCCACCTTATTGGCCATATGAACTTTGTTGGTCGGCATCTATTTCGCCAGCTGATATCATTATGGTATAAAAAATTATGTATTATACTCATCCGTTATGTTGGAAGACCACGATTGATCTTATACGGGGTGCCCACTACGGCTGGAATCGGCCGATCGGGCCGATCTCCCGACTC